AACGGTGCCATCAATTTTAAGGTTACTAACTCTTGCACATTCTTATTTCAGTAAAACATTAGAACTGCATTTGAGAAAGAATAACAATCCTATGAATCCCTGACTGAAATAAACATGAAGTAGAAGGGAGAAGTAAAAGGTATCAATTGCTTTGGAGATAACAAGCTGGATAAAGACTGAAAAAACAAAAAAAGAGAAAAAAGGGCTCTTTCTTTTCTATGAATGAATTGTCCATGTTCTTAGCTAAAGCCAACAGCTCTTCCGTTTGTGTCCCAGATCCCTGTGGGGTGTATAGGTACTTTCCTGCCAGGAACTGGACCTTTATGGACACCGGGTATTAGACGGAGATGATATGAGCAGTCGCAAGCCTATAAGAGAGAGTTTATTGTAGACTATGTAGCCATAGCTAACAAGGAGCCATTACATAGAGCAGTCCTTCAAAGCAGTCTTCAAAGTAGCACAAAGTAGCAGCCCTTACTAATACAGTAGCAAACACAGGAGCCATACCAAGCAGCCATTCACTGGCTGGTCAATAACATACTTTTATACTAACTTAGACAAAAGAGGCTTCTTGCCAAATAGTGAGGGCCTGTGCTGGGGGGTGGGAGTGTGCAAAACTTCGAGTCAAAGAAGGGCACGCCTGCGTAGTGTAGTAAGATCGCTGTATCCTTGCTTTTGTACTTGTGTCTGGTAAATTGGCCTTGGCCTCAAACATCTGGTGTACTTTGAACAATCTCACACTGGCTAGCCCACCTATTCCAAGACATGTTTTCAGCATTCTGCCCTCTCTGGCACCACCAATTCTTTCCTCTGTAATGGATTGGCCTAACCAGCACACAAATGTGGCATTATTACTCTTATTTTAAAACAACACACACACACACAAACATTCTCTTCATCCTATTTTATTATTCTCTTTTCCTTTTATAGAATTGTTTATATTATTGACTTCATTGGAAAGAATTGTTTATACTTATTGCCTTCAATTTCTCTCCTTTCATTCTCTCTTAAAACCAACCAAAAGGAGACAGTGCTTACAACTCTTGTCAAGGTCACTAATGACCTCCACACTTAATCCAATGTCATTTCTCAGTCCTCAGTCCTCATCTTACCTGACCTTCCAGAAGTATTTGACCAGTTGACCCAGTTCCCTCAATTTTTATGTGATTTCCAGGACCCTCCTCTCCCCCAGATCTCTGTTTTTTTTCTGCTACTCTTTTAGCTACCCCCTTAGTCTTTGCTGACTCTTCCTCTTCTGCCAGACTTCTAAATGCTGAAGTATCCCAGAGCTCAGGCATTTTCTCTTTTCTATGCACACAATGCTCATATCTTCAGTGATCTCATCCAGTCTCATGGCTTTAAATGTTAGCTATATGTATACTGATGACTGTCAAGTTTTTCTTTCAAGTCTAGACCTCCTCCAACTTCAGAACCTGATTATCAAGCTGACAATTTGATTTCTCTGCGTGGATATCTAATACAAGTTTAAAATCTCCAAACCTGAGCTCCTAAAGTTCCCTCCCATACCTTCTTAGTTTACCCATCTAAGTTAATTCCATCCCTTTAATCTGTTAGGCCAAAATCTTGGAGTTGTCTTTGACGTTTTTTTCTCCCTTCATATAGCTTATCGGGTCTTTCAGAGAAATCCCGTTTTCTTTACCTTCAAAATATATTTAGAATTCTATACTTCTCACTACTCCCCATTCCCATCATCTTTGAAATCCACTCCTGTGAGGTTTTTGACCCATAATTCCACCAAAAATACTCTTGTCAAAGAGTGATTTTCTTTAAGTCACCATCTCTCACCTGAATTATTTTAGGAGCCTAACTGGTCTCTTGCTTCAACCCCTGCTCCCTTCATTTTATACTCAACGTAACAGGGATCTTATAAAAAAATAAGTCAGATCATATCATTCTGCTTAAAATCCTCCAATGCTTTCCCATCTCACTCAGAGTAACAGTTTAAGTGCTCACTTTGACCTTTAAGATCCTAGAACAGTGGTTCTCAACCTTGGCTGCACATTAGAATCACCTGGGAATCTTTTTAAAATCCTGATTTCTGGGCCTCATCCTCCGGAAATTCTGTTTCTTTGTTATGGAGTGAGGCCACAACATTAGTAACAAAGAAACAGA